TTTTGTTGATAAACAATTCTATTAACTTATAATCAAAACAAAATATTATAAAATTTTAAATAAATCACAAACTTATCTTATAATTTATTTGTTTGAAATGTTTCAAACTTATTTTATAATTAATAAATAATAGATTTGATTCAGGTCGCGTACTTAGATGTGATAAGTGAGTTTATTATTAATTTTTTTTATATACACAAAGACTCAAACTCATAACCTTATTTAACCGACACCAAGACGCTTAGTACTCAAATTAACTTCCATTAATATATTACACTACTTTAAAAATTAAATCGGTGATAAGTGTGATAAGACGGAGAACTACAATAGAATGAGAGGATGCTAACTGAGTTAAATAATTGTCATCTAACAAAAAGTTATTATATAAAAATATAACAAATATACTTTTTAATTAAAATCTTATTACTTGTTAAAAATCAATCCTCAAAAGCGACATGAATATTTTTGTTTAAAAATTTGCCAATTTTAATTTGTTTAAAAAGAAACATGAAATGCTTGGTTGTCATGATCTTCATTTAATAGTTAACACTGCTACAAAAACGTGGCATATGATTTTCCTTCTTGTGTTCCTTAAGTTATCATCATTTTCCCAGCTGACAGATTCAGCTAATACAGTAATGCATCCAGGAACAGCATTTGAATTTATGTCATAGATAAAGAATTATAATACAAGGCACAAAATATTCTTAGTATCATCGTATATATAACACTTAACCAAATCACATTGTGAGTATTTTATTCTTCGAACCAATCACAAAACATAAAACAAATTTCATAAAATGGAGGAACTTGTCCATTGAATATGACGCAATCATAAAACTCCAGCATCATAACCTGTCACTGCTAACACTTGACATGTATTGTTTCCAAACTTGGTGGTTAATGGCGTTTTATGCTTTAATGTTTGGCCATATATATATATATATATATATATATATATATATATATATTCAAGAAATAATGAATAAGTGATGGTGGATCATGAATTTATATCAGTGTATCATATTTAGGAATCTAATTGCTTTGCTTGTAGTTTTTCTGTTTTGGCCCCTAATCACGTGATTGTTTTGCTATGGGATTTTGACTTTTAAGTCAACTTCTCAACTTAGACAAGAGTTGAAATGGATAAGATTAGAAATCTATTTGAATTACTTTATTTTTTAAAAAATCACTATTTTATTTTTATTTTTTCTATCAGTTTTAATAATTATTTTTATAAATAAAAAGTACACTTTCATGTTGGTTCTAAAAGATATATGTTTTAGTCACTTTAACTTTTAACTTTACAAACCTATGACTTCAATCGTTTATCTTGTAAAATGTCATTTACTTTAGTCTTCAAAGATAGGAAAAGAGTTGTTAAAAAAGATAAAACTAAACAACATTTTGCAAAACGAGGAATTAAACTAGAGTTTTATAAAGTCAATCTTTAACTTCACAAAATAATCATTTCAATCGTTTATTTTGTAAAATGTCGTTTAATTTAGTCTTTAATGATAGGAAAAAGAGTTGTTAAAACAAAATGAAACTGAAAAACATTTTGTAAATAAGAAATTAAACATGAATTTTACAAAGTCGAAGTGACTAATTTCTTTGACTTCACAAAATCATCACTTTCAATGTTTGTTTGTAAAATGTCTTTAATAATAAGAAAAGGAGAAGTTAAAAAAAAGATGAATCTAGACAACATTTTGCTAAGGTAGGAATTAAACAAGAATTTTATTAAGTCAAGCACTAAAATGACTAATATCGTTCTTGCTCCTGAAAAAACAATGAACCAAATAATAAAAATGTTATAAATTAAAGTAGAAAATAAATCTCTGTTTGGCAATCAGTGCCAGTTCAAAACACCCTCTACAGAATTAAGTGGTTGGGTGTCGTCAAACAGTCTAATGATGGTTGGATAGTCTCATCCTTTTGTTTGGAGAGAAAAGGGAAAATTCTTCAAAATAAGGACATTTTTTTACCCTAGATTTGTCAATGACAAAATGATATACTGAGGAATATCCTGTCACTCATTGTAAAAGGAGCTTTAAAGACTGTCTTAATCGAGTTTAGTGGACCTTCACTTGAAGTAACAGGGTAACTAATGGTAACAACATAACATGATGATATTTGATATGCTACTATAGTATGGACAAGAAAATACTGTTTTTGAAAATAACTTGAAAGGATTTTCACATGCCTCATAAGCATTAAAGTCATAGATACAGACATGAGTTCATAATTGAACCTCTTATGCGGTTCTCAGTTTTCACAAGTCCATGTAGTAGTGTAGTGTCCTTCACTTCCTCCACACTACCTAATTGCTTTCCCATCCTTCACTTTTCTGCAAAGATACTTGGACTATAATAAAGGCATGTCCTTTCCAACACTAATCTTTGTAGTTGTAGAGAGGCATGCCAAGAGAATAAGATAAGGTTACAGTGAAATTGTCATGTTGATAAATGATAGAATGGCTAAGAAATGTCTCACTCTCAACACCCTATGATTGTCTCTTCCTTGTTTTATTGTTATTATTATTCTTATTATATGCAATGCAACCATTATTAGCTAATTGAAATTCATGTATTTTGGTTCTTTGATAGACAGGTTCATAGTATATATCTGGATTACATCGAGAATTTTATGATTTTTTCTTAACACGCATGCTGAAAGAAGACATTAGTTATTAAAAAAGAGGGGAAAATCCAAAAGGAAAATGCTAACTTATGAAATAATTTTAGTGGATCACACGAAAATATAAAGTTTCTCTCACTTGAAATAACTTTTTTTTTCTTATAAAATATTTTCTCTCAATTAATATACTTATATTTTCTTGATTGATTAAAAAGTCATTCCCTGATAATTTTTCAGATAATGTCACTCATACCAAATAGCATTGGTGAAACCAAAAATGTAGTTAATCTACTTGGAACTATGAGATCTGTGGCTGAACTAAGATCCAGTTTAATCCACATGTTTTGCAATTTCCGAATCAAGCGTTATAACATCATTGATATAAACTTTACCCCGTGCTAATTTAACTTTTTCTTTCTTTTTCTGGAACATATTAAAACTTTGCATTCTCATTGCTTTGCTGTGAAAACCCCTTGACAATGAATCAAGTTTTTTACCCCATTTTTTGGATATCATTTTACATTCATCTTTTATTTTGAACAAACTTCAAGCTTCTGCAATTGAACAATACTTCAAGGCAAGGTACAACTAAACAAACGAATGTTAAAGCCAAAACAGCGGAGGCCAATTCTTTATACCAAAATCTCTGACATAATTACACAAAATGCAACAGATTCTAACATGGCCTATTCCTCTGAAGCCCCTCATCACAGAACCAATTTATTATGCAATAAACAAATATCCTATCCTAAAACATGAAAAAAAAACCCGGTTTCTATTCTGACAAATATGATTAAAAGTAAACCAGAAAAGAAGCTGAATCTGAAGGAGAGGTTGTGGAAGCAAAACGAAGGTTCCTCCTGAGACCACCAAAACTTATGCCATGTTGTGGAAGAAGACGTTGTGTCACCCTTGTCAGCACTGCCGTGTACTCTCCTAATATCTCTGTCATAATCACCACCATTATCATCTTTCTTGCTTCTTCCTTTTTCCTTGAAAGTTCAGAACTTCTTAGCGAGGAACCTTGGGTGAGGGTCCTATAAGTAAGGCTTTTTGCACCTGAGTTTGGTAGTAACACCGTGTGGCTTGCGCCGATAGACTTTTGAATTGTGGGGTTGGAAAGTTATGTCATATACACACATATATATAAAGCATAAGGGTTAGGCAAAAAGGATTAGAATTCTGGCACTTTCTGTTGTGTGTGTGTACATATATCTACAGTGAATTAGACACATAATAATTAGCATTTTTTTAAGTGGTAATTATCATAATGATTATATAACAAGATAGATACAATAATTTGATCATATTGAACCTTTAAAAGACACGGATTCAACATTCACATTTTGTTTATTGGGGGTGGATTCACTAAATTACGCGTATGGTAATCATCATGAGAATACCGTATTTATTTTAATCACGTTTTTGTGTGACGTTTTGTGGTGTCTCATCATAGCTTTCCAAGAGCTGATCTGGTTTGATTCTATTGAAAAATTTTGTAGAACATGGAGTAGCTTGTAAGTTTTGAACATTAAGTTTGGTAGATGCATGCTTGGATTATCATGCTGGGGGAGAGGGGGTGCCTAACTTCTTTTTGAAATATGGTATGGTCAAGCCCATGTTTTTCTACACATGGGTTTTTAGCAGAACTGAATTTTGAGAGCTTCAATCCAAGATAATTCACTCTCATTGTCGGCACAAATTATATTCGCACTTCTTAAAGTTTTAACAAAATTTTAATTAAATCTTCACCCTTTTATAATATTTCTTTGAGTTTCCTTAATTTATATAATTGTATAGGAAATTAAGAGACATTTATGTTATCACCAAAGATATATAAATTTACCATTTTTAATGTGGTAGAAATTCATGGATCTCAAATATTGTTGCTGCGGACAAGGAATGTAATGTGATCATGACGATCATAGGAGAATGGCTTGTCTAGCAAATAATGTTGCAAAAGGGATAAATAGTGTAGGAGAAATGGATCTCTGAATAGGCCCACTACAACATAGGACAGTGGTCTTAGTAAAAGCACTGGAACAGAATGTACCTTCAAGAGAACATAACTTGCCTCAAACAGAAAGAATCCAAATCTAGCATAATGAGCGACTGTTCTTTTAGCATAGACTAGCTGTAATGCGTAGATGCTCAGATATGACATTGTGATATAAAATTCAATAAAGAAAGCAAAATTTCAGTACATTTAAAAGGAACAGTGCAAGGATAGAGTCCAAATTGCTAGTACAATAATATGTACAATACAAATGACATGTGAAATATTTTTCCCTTCCAAAATATACACTCATTTTTCTGAAGCCTCTCAATTATTCCTCTCTTGCACTGATTAGTTGTTCTTTCTAGAAAGAATATGATCTAGCAAAGACCCTCTTCCATGCTTTCAAACTTAGAGACCTAACCTTAGTCAAAGATAAAGAAGGCTTAAAATCCTTGTGAGGGAAGGGTGGTGGAGGAGTTGGTGGGGATGAGGATGATTGTGAACTCTCTAATTCAACGTTGTCTTCGTGGTTCCAAAAATGAGCCTCTTTTCTCTTGCTTCTCACGGTTTCTAGCACATCATATTTGTTGCAAATTCCCCACACAGTCACCTTTTGTTGATAGTAATCCACATTTATAGAGTATATGCCTGTTATCAATAATCAGTTCTCCCTTGTTAATATAACAGAATGTTTAAATTCATATTTTAATAGTCTTTAATTTATGTTTATTTCAGTGTTATTAATTGTAATTTTTACATTAAATTTATATTTTTTAATTTTTTAATGCTTGTCTAAACATACACTTAAAATTTTTTAAATCTTCCCACAATACTTTTTTTTACTATTTTTATTTGTTAAATATATTTATTTTTCATTAAATATTTTATCTATAAAATACAAAAAAGAATAATAAGAGAAAAGTAGCATTAAGCCCAATTTATTTTATTGAAAAGCACAGAAGAAAATTAAGTAGTAAGGGGAAGTTTTACTTTTACAGTAGATGCTGGAGAATTTTCTAAACATAGGAAAGTTTACTATTTATGCACAATGCAAAGTGATGGGCCCTGTGTGAATACACGCTGTTTTATTGCTAATTTTTACAGTATTTTATAAATTTAAAAAATATTTTATATTTTTTATATGTGTAATAATACTTATTATTAATTTTATATTAATAAATAATAAAATTAATAATTTATTTTAAAAATATAAATATTTTTTAATTTCTAAAATATTTAAAAATCACAACCTTCAATCTAAAGAAAGATAATATACAATGTCTTTTAATTTAGTAATCAAATTTTTTATTCTAGAAATTTAAATAATACTAATAAAAGTGAAATTCGTTTGTTTCTTATGTGAACAAGTTCACAAAATTGCTTAATGCTCTTCTTTGTGTTTCTTACGACTCAATGATTAATTTGATAAAAAAATAAAAATAAAATCGTAGAAGGACCTCTTTGACTATTACTGTTAGATTAAATATCCTAATGCTTAGTTGTTATGTCATAGTCAAAATATTTTTCTAGCAATTTTCATTAGAAATTTAATTTGGTGAAGACAACAAACTATCACTTGGTCACACATAGCCCACAGCCCATTAATCACAATGCGTGTTAAATGGACCCAAAAATCAAAGTTGTGAACTTGGAATTTCGAAAACTCACATCAATCTTGACTACATGTAGCCAGCTACAATTATTTTTTAACAGATAATATAAACATAAAAAAATAATTTTGTCAAACCTCAACCTTAACAAAATTTAAATAATTATTAATAATAATTTTTCACTAAAAATAAAATACTTATTATATTACATACATAAGAGTGTAAGAAATAGTTTTTATTTTAATATTGACAAAATGGATAAAAAAATAAACTAGACTATATTCTATCTATGAAGAGTAAAATGACGGAAACTTCTTTCTGACAATGATGGGTGTTCATATTTATTGTTGAAATTAGTGATATAAAATTGAAAACTAACACTAAAATGGATATTAACCTTTAAGAGTGGATAAGGTTTTCTTGATTTTCTTCTCGCATCCAAAAGAATACAAAGGAACCATCATTTCAACGTACTGTGCCTCCACAATATTCTTGTAAGCTGGGACAATTTGCATGTTGGCCATTTCAGCTTCTTCCAATTACAAATCAATCAATGTTTCTCGTTAATTGTTATGGGTGTGACTTCAATCCTTATGTATATATATAAAGTGTTTGTTGAGGATATGGATCATGGCCGGTTAAGCTACATCATTATCCATCAGATTCTGCTGATAAAGGAAGCCTTTATTCAAGAGTTGCTTTTTTCTTTCTTTTCTTTTACATTTCTTTATGGGATGTTGCTATATACTAACAACTACTTCTTCATAATTAAGAGGGTTAATTAGGCTTTGAAAGATAATCCCTTTGATTAAGGAAATTGAAGTCATGTTTTGAATTGTGTTTGGGTGGTGTGACATGGATGAGTGCAAAGCTGTGTCAGCAACTTGCTTTGGATCATCAAAAGTTGATTCATTGTATTCTCCTTTTATGTCTTTGGGAATTGGAAAGTCTTGGAGTTTGGCTCCCATGTGGCTTGTTTTCCTTATGGAAGAAGATACTAATTGAATTGAAATAATTCATAATCCTTCTTAATTATTCTTCTTAATTAATTTTTAGTTTTGTTAATTTTAATATTTAGTAATTGAGTTTAAATATTTTAAAATATTAAACGTGCATTAAAAGAACAATTCTTTATTAAAGATATAAAAATATAGTATTGAGATTAATATAAGTTACTTATATTAGTTACTTAAATTTTGTCTTAAGAATTGAGATTACTATTTTTTCATTTATTTAAGTAAATAATATTAAGTAATATTTAAAAATATTAATTAAAAAATAGAAATATTTTTTTTAAAATCATTAATGTATCTCTCCTTATAATTTTTAAGGTACTTTGACTTCATTTTTAATAAAAAAATTATACTTTTAATTTCTTAATTAGCACTGGTTAGCAAGACTCACTTATTTTCTAAAGCAAACCTTAAATACACGTCTTTATAGTTAATGTCTTTAAGAAATTAATAAATAATTTTTTCATTAAAAAATTACATTAAAATGCATTAAAAGTTGTAGAAGTGAATCTCTTTTTATATTTTTTTAATAAAAAATATTTTAAATTCTTTGATCAATGTGTCTTAAAAGATACTTATTGACATTTTTCTAATATTATTTAAAAAAATAATATTAATAAATTTTTATTTTTATTTAGATATTTTGTCTCATAATATTCATCATAACTAAGTTTATTAGGGTACGTTAAGTTGCAGCAATCCTCTACGCTCATTGATTAATAAATGTTTATTTTTTAAAAAATTAAAATAATATTTTATGAGAAATATTATTAATTATTTTTGTAATAATATTTTATTTATAAATACCTTAATTAATGTCCTTGAGTTACACTTTAGTAAGATTGAATTGTTGAAAGAGTATAGTTGATCAATGCTCAAAAGATATTAGTTTAAATATTACTAATAAATAATTTTTTAAAATTATAAAATGTATTAGCAATATTATCATATAAGATTCCTTGAGGGATATGTATCATGCTTCTTGCATGTCATGGTGTTTTTATAAGCATTTATAGTTATTTTTTGTTTTAATTGATTTTTTTACAAAAACACCGTTAATAGAGATAGTATAATTGATTTAATAAGTTAAAATTATATTATATTTAAAACTAAGATAATATTAAATGCTAGATTGTCATATTTTCTAATTTCTTAATTAATACTACAATAAAATTAATGTTATTCGTAAATAAAAAAACTAATATGCCGATTCATCCAATACACCAATTTTAAATTTGATATTGAAATAAGTTATAACGCATAAAATAATTTTTAAAATGCTACTCCGTTCTTTTTTAGTTGTCACACTGTTTTACATGAAAATTAATGAATAAATTTGATATCCTTATTCTTAATAAAAGTAATATCTTATTTTTATTATATATTTTTAGTTGATTAATTAAATTTTTAAGCTATAAAATTAATATCTTATTTTTATTATCAGAATGGAAGCTTTAAGCACGAATAATCGATGTTGAATACACATGGAATTGTCGTTTTGTTTAATTAATATAAACCAAAGTGTTGCTATTTGGTATTTGCAAACATATAAGACGACATATCAAAGAAAGCGTCGCATATGGCTGCCTTAAATTTTAAATTATATCAGCGTTTGCATTAACTATTTTATTATTAATTCTTAAAGTTACGTAACATACATAAAACATTATAGCTAGGACTGTTTTACACAAACACAAGTTCGATGTAACGTTCAATTGTTTTTCTTAAGGTATATTAGTCTTATTAGCCAAATACTATACACCTCTCTTATGTCACTGTAGATATTTGAATACCAACCGAAAGTTACAAACCCAAAGTTCTTTTATTTTAGAAATTTTAGTGACTTAAGATTTATTATTTATATTTTTATTTATTAAATTAAATATTTTATATGGTACGGAGTTAAAATGAAAAAATATTTTTTTTCAAAAAATGTTAATTTTTAAAATAATTTTTAAAAAATTATAAAAATAGAAATAGAAATTTTAAAAATATTAATTTTTAAAGAAAAATATTTTATTTTTTTGAAAAAAATAATAAATAAAAAAAATATAAAAAAATAATAATGTAATTTATATATTTTAGTTTTTATTATTATTTTCTTTTAATATTAAACATCTAAGTAAAAAAGTGTTTATCTCTCCTTCCTCTCCCATCTTTTTCTTCACTAAGCTCTTTAAACCTTTTATTTTCTCATCTTTTTAAACTTTCAACCAAAAACCTTAAGAGTTCACTTTCATCACTTCATCGTGAAAATGCTGATAAGGTCTCCGAAATATTCACTCCCATTTGATCTTTGAGCAATGTAATAAAATTTTTCATCCACGAATTATGATTTTCTTTGCAAATTAATTGTTGTAAAGATTGAGTTTACTTAAAAAATAATAATAATAAAATTTTCACAATCATTTCAATTGGTACTGTTGGATTATTCCTCACAAGCATGCGCTATAAGCACAAGATACGTGCATCCACATCACGCTTAACAAATAACATGAGTATAATCTGTATGGAAAGCTTTATTTTATTTATTAAAAAGAAGTATAGTCAATAAAAGTAGCTAGGAAAATTTATATATGAAAATTATGGTGCCAAAAGGAAAATTAGTAAAAAAAGTTGTGCTATGCTTTAGAATCTCTTTTCAAATAGTCACATCACCACCTCTTTCTAATTAACGAGTGTTCCATCGACATCTTTTATTCAATAATTTAATTAGATTTGGAGTGCTAATCTAAACCAGTTACATGAACTAGATGTGAATCATTTCTGATTTTGAATCTGTATCCTCATACTTAGGTAGCTTTTCTCATCAATGTTTTCCACTTTCGAGAATCCAAGGAAGAGAACTAAGAATAGAATAGCGTATAGGACAAAAGGGACAAGTTATAGACACTTCTCATGGCATGGCTTCAGCATAGCCAACCCTTACCTCATTGCAAAATGGGTCCCAACACCTATTGGATTGTTTTAGACAATTTCTGAGGCGCTTATAAATTAAATAAGTTTTTTTTTTAAGAATTGAATATAAAATTAAGGATGATCTTTTAAATATAATAGCATAAATATATAATCATTTTTTATTTTCTTATATATTTTTTATATTAAAATAAAAAGTTTCTTTAATCAATATACAATGTCAGACAAATATTTATTATATAAAATATACATTTGAATGTTTATGATGTGTCGTATAAGCAAGATTTACACGAACCAGATGATTCCTTCCTCGTGTTCGATTGGACCACCTACTCTGTGAAACCAACACATGTATCTAGTTTATGGCTTTATATGAAATAAATTATATATTTAAAAAATTTAAATATGTTATTTTTAAATTTCGATCACTTTATACGTAAATAATGAAAAAAATTTACTTAGAACTGCTTGACAGTAGTAGATGTTGGCAGCATTTATTGATATTGATTTCTTAATGGTAGATATGTATGAAACCATATAATATACTTCTGTGACGGTGAATGCCGGTGACATGCACGTAGGTTCATTTTAAAAAAATGACGGTAATAAAAGTTAAGGATAAATAAATTTTATTTTAAATTTTAAATATATTTCAATTTCGTAAGGTTATGACACATTTTATATTTATAAACTAGCGTAGTAATATTTTTTAAATTATTCATGTAGACACATAGATAATATAAAATATAAGATGAATTTAACTTCAATGTTAATTAATTTTATAATAATGTATAAATAGTAATTTAAAGTATAATGGTTACTTAGTATAGGCCTATCGCCTATCTCTCTGTCTAATATTAATTACAAAATACTAGCTAATCAAATGGATTTTTTTTTCTCAAATTATTTCTAACAACCAATATAGTTATGTCTTAAATAAACTTTGTACTCATAATGTCATCACATATAAAGAGAAAGAAAAGATATATGATTTTAAAGATCAACTTAAAAAAAAATCTATAATATACTTAAATTGAATTTTATTAAAAATACCATTGAAAAATCTAAGTTTGTAGTTAATTTTACTAATTGGGTTTATAATTGTATAAGAAGTACTTCTGTATTAATTAGAATGAGGTACTGTTTGATCAATTTTGTTCATCTAGAAACAGTAGATAGGGAGATCCTCTTTTATTATATTATTAATTATTTATACCAAATAAAACCCTTTAATGTATCGTTTAATATGTCTCTTTTATTTATTTTTTCATCAATATCTTAGCACTACAACTGAATGCATCTTCTATAATCAACCATAAATAATACGTTACGTATAACTTTAACAAAATAAGCCACAATTAATAAATAATAATATCAGAAAAACAACTTATTATATTATATAGTAAAAGTTCTTTCTAATCTCATATGATATGATCATGCCCTATGTACACGATATTGCATCTTATTTAGAGCTGCATGCGCATGGACATCTATATGAGCTCTGAAATAAGATGTAGCATACGACAGGTGACATTTGAATTCCATTTTATCCCTATGAAATTGAAATATAGTAAATTTTACATTTTTAAAAATACTTTTTAAGTCCCAAAAATTTGTCCACTTTGAACTTAAATATCATTCCCTTACCTTAAACTTTTCATTACAAAAAAGAGAGATGAAGTTGATGATACTTTGGATTCGGCCAAAACAATGTGGGGCTTTTGCACGTGGCTCAGGCAGGAAATTTTTCCCGTTCATTCATAGTTTTGTCTGCTATCCCATGTCATCTAATCTCATTTTCATAATCATGTGTCAATCACCAAAGTAAAAACTTGATTAACATCAAATCGGTTAACCCGCTTAAAAAACAAAAACATCAAGTTAGTGAACCAAACGAGAAGAAAAGCAAAAAAAAAACTTGAGCATACTCATATTTCACAAGCATTTGTACAACATTGATCTGTGACTAGTGTAATAATATATCGTACATACATAAAAAGACAGAACGATATATTATTAATCAACTTAATTATTATCATCATGTGATTCCATTCCATTTGATACCTTCCATTCCACCAACCCAACTTAAAAAAATTCCCATATTGGTGGTACTTACAAACAACTTTGAATCGTTTCTTCTTCTTCTTCTTCTTCTTCTCTCTCTCTTCCTTTCTTATTCATGTGATGATTCATGTAATGCAGCATGCATTAGGATTTTCATCACTGAAGAGTTGAGGAGGTGGTAGACGTTCAATAACATAGAGTGGAGGGTAGTGGTAATAGTACATCATCCTCTTCATGCCTTCGTCATCAATGTTAGCCATTACCACATTCTCCTCTTTTTTGGCTTCTTCTTTGCTTTCTTCACCACCCTTTTCTTCTTTGTTCTCATTCTTCTTGTCAGCACCTTCACCACCCTCTTCTTTCTTTGGTTCTTCTGGTGGCTTTTCCTCTTCTTTCTTCTCTTCAGGTTTAGCCTCTTCTTCTGCAGGTTTCTCAGCTTCTTTATTCTCTTCTTTCTTTTCTGGTTCAGGTTCTGGCTGAGGAACTATCTTGGCTTGCTTTTTGGTGCGTCTATAGACATAATCCACTAGCTTGTTTGCATCCATAGTTCCTGTCACAAGAACCTTCCCTGTGCTAAACTCTGTCAATGCTGTTTGAACACCTACATTGATGAACAGAAGTTAAGACATTAATTACAAATAAATATTGCCTTAGTTAAGTCCTTTTTAGGTTACGCCTCGAAGGCAAAAAGACGAGACTAAGGTATCTTTTTGCTGAACTTTTATTTTGTTCCTTAAAAGGAAAATATTCTCTAATTAACTTTTATAAAAGTTCTTTTTAAGTTTTCTTTTATAGTTTTATTTTCAATTTTATACTACATACATATCATAAAAAAAATAAAAATTAAATACACTTTGTTAAAATATTTTCAATTACTTAAAATTAAGTTTCATGGAACTTCACCTTTAAATGGCTGCGATTTGATTTTTGAGGCATGAATCAAGAAATTAGAAAGTGTTAAAAAAGAAACTTTGTTTGGTGAATGGCATGAATGAATTTTAAATCTATGTTTCTTTCTTAATTGTATTTGTGTAAGAGTTAAAGTTTGTTTCATCACTTTTAATTGTCAAATTTTGGTCATCTTTATGGAATCTCTTCATCCCTTCCCCCACAATTTCTTTCACTTTTTGAGGTGCAATCTCTTGCAGGGCATGGACATGGGGCCCATGTCTCACATAATCACTGACCAATTTGCACAAAAGAACGCCACATTAAGAGGGTTCAGCTAAAGTGCTGACTAGGCAATCTGATGGATACAATGCATGAAAGGATGGACATGCTCAAATTCCGGAGTGATGATTCATCCTTTATGAGATCCTTTATATTATTTTGTTGTAAAGTGGTATATGAAGTTGATTTGTCACAGTCAAAAAACTGCATTTGGCACCACAAAATTTAATCATTACAAAAGCAGCTGTCTACTTCTTTCCCTTTTTTTAACCTGTCCTTTCTAAATTACAACTAACAATGTAGCCATCATATACTGAAATCAAGAGAAAAATTGTACCTCTCATTTGTAGTATCTTCCTCTTGAGTTGCTCAGCACAGGCCTCACAGTGCATATTTACATTAAGTTCCACAGTAACTGGTCCACTGACCTGGAACACCAACAATTGCCCTTTGTTGATCAACTGTTTATATGTAAATTAGCATTTCCTTTGTTTAGTTTGGTCTCAACTAGAAAAGAAGAAAATTATTATGATACCTGAGAATTGACAACTTCTGGTATAGGTTCTCCTTCTGCTGCAGGCAATGGAGATATAACATTGGCTCTTCTCTTTGCTTTCTTGGTAATTATGTTGCAGATCGCTTGAGGCTCAACTATACCCTTTATGGTCACTTCATTTTTTGTCATGTCAATTACCACTCCCTCAACACCTGTTAGAAGATAAAAACAAAAGAAAATAAGTCCACATGCATGCATGACATTTGGAAAAAAAAAGGAAAGGGACCATATAACAGATGTGAATTGAACCTCTCATTTTCATGATATATCTCTGAATTTTCTTGGCACATCCCACACAATGCAAGTCCACAAATAGCACACATGGGGAAGGTGGTTTAGTCTCTTCCTTCTTCTCCTCTGCTGGCTTTTCCTCTTGTTTTTCTTCTTTCGTTTCCTCAAGCTGTTCTTTCTTCTCCTCAGGCTTGGTTTCAGCCTTGGGTTGTTCCTACTCAACACAAAAGAATAAGCACATCTAATAAGTAAAAGAACTAATACAGCCCAGTTATAAGAAAAATCATCACTAAAAAACCATGATGCCAACAGAAGAGTTATGTCACCTGTTGTACTTGCTCTCCCATCTTCCCTATGAATGAAGACTGGAATATCAAAGTAGTATTCTGATTTTGGAAAAAAGGTTCTTGGACATGCAAGAGATGGAGAGGGTTTAACTAGTAAAAGGAAGTGAGTGATATTATAGGGAAGGACGGAGTAGGAGTATGATGGATGGCCGGTGAGTGATTGGCATATAAAGTTAAACTGAGTGATTCCTTATCACATGCAGTGCCACTAACTGCAAAAGGAACCTCTTAGTTTAATATTTCTTTTCAATCTTCAAGGGTGAAGGTTGAAGGGGGTAAATCAGTGGAGCAGGCAGATTTATAGAGATCAAGAGGAGGAGGAGGGGGGGGGGGGGGGGGGGGGGGAGAGAGAGGGTACTCTGAAAAATTATAATACTTCCATTGTCCACCGACTGGTAGATTTTTCATGACAAGGTGGTGAAGTGTCATTCTGTCAGACATGCATGGCATATGTGTAAGTGTAGGACCTCATTAGGACAACCTGGAAGCCTACCTAGGTGTGGATCTATAGTGTTCAGCACCTATAGTGAATCTGATTATTACTTTTACATTTAGCTATTCTTTTCTGCACATGTAATTATAAAATTAATTTCTACTTTACTAAGCAAATTACAATACACCACCTAAGCTAAAATAATTAACCACGTTGCACTAAGATTCTATCTGTCTATTTGCATTATTAAATTCTTATAAAGTTTATTAGATTATTCTTAAATTGGAAGTTGGTTCAAGTATGTGCTACAGGTTCATTTAGCATCAGTCCAAGAAGACAATTAACTTGTTTCTTTTAAAAAATACGTTTGAGGAATTAAAAATTATTGAGCATCTTTACATTCTAACAACATAACTGCAGCCATTTTAAACTATAGGCTCATTGTTTATTTCAAAAAACAATTAAATCTTTTTTTTTCTTGTTGAGTAATCAATAATCATTCTTCCCCCATTAAATATTAGGCATGCATAAAGCTTGCATATATTTTAAACTTCTTTGCTTCACCTAAGTACACATTACGATACTTTTATGAAAGATAAAGCATCATTTAGATTTGTTAAAGAATAGATTCAACATTTTTTACAAAGATGACAAGAGTTCGTCGAATCAATGAAAGAATATTGCACATAAATTGTTCGTATTTATTCATCCTACTAAAGCTTATGTTGGGGGTATGCGTCCACTCAAATGATTAGACATCAGCAAACTTACGGATACATTGTAATTACCTGAAATATGATATTAAATATTTTCCTTCGAGTTATACATGAGTTTGATTTGACCATTTAGTATAGCTAAGAGCAGGTACCAATCATATGAGCCAGCTGGTGTCATGAATGTGGTCTTAATAGAGATACATTGTGATTTCTTAAAATGAAATTAGCTGATACATTTGCTTTTACACGAATTAGAGCTTAAGCAACGCATTTCTCATTTTTATGAAATGTGATTGGGATGGATGACACATGGGGATTAGAGAAATCTCTTTACAATTTGCGTGTAATAAACTAATCCAATAAAGTTGATCTCACGTGGACTGTTATTGACTTTTCTATTTTCTATGACAAAGCTTCTTTGTTATGTATCTTTTTCATTTCCTGCACTAATAGGTGTTTTGCACTGTAAAATACTCTTTCCAGTTTTATATAAGATGTTGCATAAGTAATTTTTATTTGTTTTAAATTATGTCATTTTAAAATATTTATTATTTTTAAATAATAATTTTTTATCAAGATTAATTTTTATCAATTAACTAAAATAACTTTCAGATTAGTAATCACTTAATTACTGCAATAATTTCAGCACTTATAATAGATATACTTTAATAAAACAATTTTTTTTACTATTATAATTAATAAAACTAATATGAATCGGTTCTTATCAATCCATTAGTCTAAATAACATCTAATATGAAACTGAAGAAGTAACTTTTTTTGTTTCAGCTGGTCTTATCAATCGATCCGTTCTTCCTATATTGCATGTAGTAATCAAATACTATATACCATAAAGTGATGGGGCAAGCTTTCCATTAAACATTAAAAGTTGTGTCCTTACCAAACTATGTTAACCTCTGAATGGTTGGTAGGTAAATTTCCTCTTCAAATATACCCTTTATAAGGAAACAAGAAAACCATCTTTTCTAAACTGGGCTGTTCTCAACAGCTTAATAGAAAAGTTTTTGACTTGATTATTTCTTCCTTTTGGAACAATGAAGAAAGAAGAGCTTCAACTACTCGGTATATGTAGCAACACGTGGAGATGACTCATCATTGTGCACTAAAATAATTCCTTTTATGTGTTTGGTTAATTTGGTGAGAGATATTAACCACAAAATCCTATAGACTAATAAATTCCACCAACCAACACATCTTCTACCTGATGCAAAGATAAGCAAAATCCAGCCAAAATGGACTGCAACCCTTTGATACATATAATCTAGGTTGACATTATTGATTAATTTTCTCCCTTTGATATAATCTAAAGTTGGAAAATAGATTTTGGAAATGTGGGTGGGTGTCTAAACATTGAAAGGAAGGCTAATAAAGGGATCCTAATCAAGGTATGGTTCCTTCTAATGTTAGCTTGGCCGGTTAAGAAGAATCTAGATGATTGCTTAGCTTGAACAGTAACGCAATTATACTCAACCACACCAATTCTCTTTCTTGGTACAAATAGATTTATATCTTTTCATAATTCATAATTGCAATATGAATTTATGATATGAGTTTGGGACTCTTGGTGTATTGTCATTTGCTTAACAGAATCTTTGCTTTATAGTCGACACTTAGTCAGCATGTGATGAAAACATTTACCAAATGGGAGAATTCCATGTGTCCACTCTGTTATTTTCAGTTAAAAGGAATTGGGCAGAACGATTAAGAAAAATTTAAAGGTAGGATTTGGTTTAAGGTCTGCCCCAAGGGATTAAATGGACATCATGGAATTGTAGCCATCAGTTTTTTATCAATAAATTTGCAAAAAGCTTATTTCCCTTTTGTCATCATAATTTAAACTACTCCTATGTATATAATGAGTAAATCAACTGTCTATCCCTGTCAAAACTTATTTTGTCCACCCCGAATGAATTATAAAGTTGGAAATTTCACATTGAGCTCTTCCCTTTTAACCATTTATATTTTGCAAAATAGGAGTGGCACATTCTAACATACTTTTTGTGATTGGTTACTTTTTAAAAAAGTCAAAGTAATTTTTTTAAAAAAAGTCAATTTATGAGACAAAATTTGTTGCTAGCATTTTTCTTGAGATGTCTCGTAGCTTACAAGTTTACAATATTCTTATATTACACATCACAAAGCAAGAAAGGTGAGTGCCTGTAACTGTATTACAAAACAATGCAGAACATGAAATATACCTACAATTGTTGGCCCCCCTAAGCATGCAGATGTATGGTGGTTCTCTGATATGGAGGTTTTCTTTTCTTCATCTTTTTTTTTTCCATGTGAACTTTGAATTGCGTTTGAAGCAAAGATCTCCAATTCTCTATGACTACATGATAGAAATCTCAACGACCGAAAAATAGAGGTAAGGTACAAATCATTGAGCAATGTATTATTGAAAATATAGGTACTAACACATTATAGTATTACATAGTAAATAATTATTGAAGAATCAAATGGAACATGAAAGCATTATTGAGAGTTGGCGGTTAACTCGTTGGTTCTTTACAATACATTGTCACTGCAAACCCAAGAAAACAGAATCAGGGATATAGTCAAGATAATGTTTTCCATAATGATTTATACTGAATAAAGAATATTGAAGAAATGTGAAGTATATGATTTAGCCAATGAATAGATTAACGATTTATACTATTCCATAATGTTTAAGGTCAATTTATGTGATATATTACCTAAAAGCAATTCAAATTCTATACACTGAAAAAAACAATTTAAATATTAGATGCTACAGAAAACTAAGAGAAAAAGAGAGAGAGAATATTTCACACAGTGAATAAAGAATATACTACTTTGTGATCATACAGAGGGATGAGGAAACATGACCTTTTTTTGTCAGAATACATGCAATATGGTCTACCTTTCAAGAATGTCTCATTTTGATGTATCAGGAAGCGATGTGGGACTAAGGGCAAAGCGAATCCATAAGAGTCAAGGTGTTTTATGAGTGCAATGAACATATATGAGAGGGCACATGGTGTGGGTCACAGCGTTTCTAAAACCACTTTTTCTGCGGGTATAACTTACATTATAACTGATCAATATTGAATAGCAAAAACTTACATAATCGTACTAATATGCAACTTTATGAGGAGATATGAACATCTATCTCACGCATAGAACTTTCAAACTTTGCATCCCCAGTAATAAGATAAATTTTTCTTAACAGCAAGAGTGTTAGTGCTCAATTTCCCATCTAAAATAGATTCCACTTTCTCATTTCTGATTTAATGCTATACAATGTTCCATGAATCACTTCTTGATAAAATGCAGAGTCTTCATCAACCATTACTTTCTTCCCTGCCTTGACATTGTCGAGACCAAGCAGAAATTGGCCAACCTTTTCCATATGCAGACGTAGATCTTTGTCATTCCATTGTGAAGTATTCTTCTTTCATATCAACATATGCATGGTATCTGTTTATCTATTTATAATATATATAATTTTGAAGTGCAAATTGTGGCATTGACATTTCAGCAGCACAGTTAGCTTAATCTTTTCTATTTTCATATATTATGAGATTGAAAGCTATGCAAATAATTTGTACTTGGTCCCTCTAACTTCTATTAGGATTGGATTTCCAGTTCAACTTATGGTTTTAGAGTAACTAATTTGAACAGATACAAGTTATACTAGCATTCGTAATTTGATTATTTGTGACGTGAATTTGTGATGTAATAGGTTTCTATTATTCTAATGATTTCAATAACTATTTGTGGGAAAAGGAGCATCACAACATTATTTCTTTTAATGATTTTTGTCCTGCTAATGATCAGTTACAATACTTTTTCATTTCAGTGAAAATATTATTTTCTAATTACATTAGTTGAATCCCAGTGTAATGTGTTGCATATATAGCTTAGCAGGATAAAAAACTAGCTAGTTCCCTGCATTTCAATATACTCTCCTATATTGTTTCGAGCATTATTGACAATGACTAGTTTAGATCAATGCCATGAGGGTCAGCTTATTATAATTCTATTTTTCAGCCAGAAAATTTTCAACAATTTCTTCCAGATTAATGTTATCGAACTATTCTCAACTCTTCCTTTGTTGTCTTCTCACTTTGCTCTTTCAACATAAGTCAACCTTGCTTTTCCTAGATCCA